CCGACTCGCTCGCGTGCGCTGCCTGCGACTTGCCGCGGCAGCGGGGCGGGGAGGGAGGTGGGGAGGGAGGCGGGCAGCGGGGCGGGCAGCGGGGCGGGGAGGGAGGGGCGCCGGGAGGGGGGCCGGGAGGGGGGCGGGGCGGCGGGGCGCGAGCCGGAGGGGCGTGGGGCGAGGGGGGAGCGGATGGCGGCGGCGGCGGCAGCGGCGGCGGCGGCGGCGGCGGCGGGCGTCGCTTGCGGAGGGGCGGGAGGCTGCGGCGAGGGGGCGTGGGGCGAGGGCGCGGGGGTGTGGAGGTGATTGGCCTCGACCGAAGAGGAGGCGGGGACGTGTCCCGGACATGTCCATCGACAGGTCGTGTCTCGTAGGTGATTGACCTCTCGGCCGAGGAGGAGGAGGAGGAGGAGGAGGAGGAGGAGGAGGAGGGGGGGGGCGGCGGCGGGGGCTTCATCAACGATGATCTAGAGGAGGAGGAGGAGGAGGGGTCGAGCGAGGAGGAGGAGGATAGCGACGACGACGACGACGATGGCCAGGAGGAGGAGGGGGAGGAGGAGGAGGAGGAGCCAGGGCTGCGGGAGAGGCTCCAGCGGCGCCGCCAGGCCACGAACAGCGATTTCGCCGACACAGCGCTCGTGCCGTCCCCCTTCTTTGCCGGCCCCGCCCCTGCCCGCGCCGCCGCCGCTGGCCCCTCCCGCTTGCCGGCGGGCACGCTCGACTGGGCAGCTCTCGGCGGCGCGGAGCCGCGGCCGAGGCAGAGCACGGCGGCGGGCGGGGGCGCGCGAGCCAGGGCGCGGGCGGGGAGCGTGGTGGGAGCGTGGGCGGGGGGAAGGGCCGGCACCGAAGCGGGTGCGCTCCGCCAGGGCGAGTGGCACAGCCGGCCACGGGATCGGGCGGCGGCGGCGGCGGCGGCAGTCGGGGTCGTGCGTGAGTCGGCTCCGCGCCGCTGCGGCACGCCCGGCTGCTTGCTGCTCGACGGACACGCGGGGCTGTGCGAGCCGGTGCGGTTCTCTCCCGACGCCACCCCCTCCTCCCTGCCCCGCCCTCCCCGCCCCGCCCTCCCCCCGCCCCGCCCTTCCCCCGCCCCGCCCTTCCCCCGCCCCGCCCTTCCCCCGCCCCGCCCTTCCCCCGCCCCGCCCTTCCCCCGCCCCGCCCTGCCCGCCGCGCCCTCCCGCCGCCCCACTCCTCGAGACGAGCTGCGCGGTGGCCGCAGGACCGTGCCGTGCGGGAGCGAAACCGGCGGTGCCGGCCAAAGAGCTACGAGGACGGCGGGCCGAGCGACGTGGACGAGACGTCCCAAGACTTGCTCCCGGCGCACGGCCAGAAGCGCAAGGACGTCGCGCGCGGCGGAGAGCGCTCGCGCAAGGGACGGCCGCCGCGGCGCAATGTGCTCGAGTCCTCCAGCGGCGAGGAGGACTGATGAGACGGAAGAGAGAGGGTGAGCGACAGCCACGCAGCGTGCGCGGCGTGGCCGGGTCCCAATCTCTCCTGCAAAGCCGTATATAGCTGGTGTGAGAGCTCATAGTCAGTAGAAATATCTCGTTTGCTATCCAAGATCGCAGAGCGCGCGCGAGCACACACTCACACAGCACACAGCACACAGGTGTCACACAGCCTAAAGTATGCTCTCTGGTTCCACCGGTCCACCCACCGGCTCCCGGTGCTGGATCCTGGTCGCGCGCACGCACAGCCCGCCGTCGTGCGTCTCGCCGTGTGCCGTGAGCGCAACAGGTTGATGATCGGGGCCTGGGAAAAGTAAAGGCCGGTGGTGGCGACTCGCCCCCCCCCGCGCAGTGTTCGACGCTGATCCTCCGCCGGACCACTCCACTCATGGGTACACCCAGTTGCCCCTCCCCACAGGAACCGGAACCAACCCACTATCGCCGACCCCTGGTGCATTCCTTGGCGGGTACAGTCGCGGCTCAGCTGTGAGCACTTACGCTGCAGGCAGTGATTCTGTAGTGACGACTGGGAGTTGCCCCGGGCCACTCTCCGGCTCTCCGCTTTCTTGGCGCCACTCAACCCTCCTGGGCTGGGAGTTGCCCCGGGCCACTCTCCGGCTCTCCGCCTTCTTGGCGCCACAAACCTCCTGGGCCGGGTAGCAGAAGTCCGACCGACGGGCGATGGCAGGAGCTTTCTCATCGATCAACTGCCGCCGCATCCATCCCGCAACCCTTCCTTGTTTTGTAACGGCCGTTGGAAAACCAGGCGGGCCGTTGTAAAACCTTCATGACTCCTTGCAGGTGCCCAGGCATGTTCGCCTCAACCACTTTCCTGCAGCTTTCTTCTTTGTTTTGTTGTTTGTTCTTTCTTGGCTCCAGATAGAGCGGGAAACGAACAAACTCTCGGGGCAGACACGAAGAAAAGAGCGGCGGTCGGTCTCACGCTGCTCCCTCGCGAGGCTCTGCTCCCTCGCAGCCTATAAGGCAAAAAACTCCTGCGCCGAAATTTGACAGGTGCATGTACGTGTACACTCCTTGATAAAAAGGGACACGTCCCTCTTTGGAACAAGGTCGTGCGACAGAGAAGGGCTCAGCGCGGCTCGGTGCTCACGATTCGCCGCTTAGCGAGATGTCCTTCTCCCTGTTCAAGCGCGAGTCGGCGGGCGAGATCCACATCGAGCCGGCCGACTTCGAGTGGCTAAGCGACTATTTGCACCAGGACGAGCGGATCTCCACCTCGCCGGTCCTGCCGCTGCCGTCGCAAACGCTTCTAGGCGGAAGCAAGCACCTGAGTGAAAAGCAAGCGCTGCTCTCGCCGCTGTCGCCAGCCTTCTTCAAGCTTGACCGCGGAGACGACCCCTCCGTCTCCCTGCGCAAGGCGGAGTGGCGGCCCGACGAGGACCTCGTCATCCTCGCAACTTTCCGCCGCCTCGGCACGCAGTGGGGCCGGATTGCTGCCCAGCTGCCCGGCCGGACGTCGGACGGAGTTCGGAACCGGTGGCACAGGCTGTAACGGAGGCACGGACTCGGTGAGTCGCTCGAGGGCCGCCGCGCGCTCGACGAGCTGCTGCTTTCGTGCGGGATCGACAAGAACTGGATGCCGCCGTCCGACCCGCTCGTGTCGCTCGACGAGGATGAGAAGAATGCCGACCACGGGCGCACCATGTGGACGACGGAGGAGGACGCGATTATTCGCGAGGGCGTGCGCCAGCACGGCTTCAAGTGGCGCCAGATCGCCGCCTCGCTGCCCGGCCGCTCCGACTCGTCTGTCCGCAACCGCTGGAGGCGGCTCGAAAAAGAGCAAGGAGGCGCCAGCCCAGACTCAAAGGTGGAGGGCGACGAGTCCGCCGGCGAGGGCTCGCCCGCCTCGCCCGCGCTCTCGCCCCTTCGCGCCGACTCCGCCGCCGCCGCCGCCGCCGATTCGCAGCTCTTCAGCCCTCCCAAGCGGCAGCGCACCGTGGACGCTGCCATGCCGTCTGGCGCCGCCGCAGCGGCAGTTCCCGTCGGCCCACCGATCCGCCGCGCCGTCACCGCGCCGGCGGGGGCGGGGGCGCCGCTGAGGCCACGCCCGGCGCCCGTCCGCGTCGACAGCGACCTCGTCGACCTCGTCAACGTGGCGGTCGAGGAGGAGTGGTCGCCGCTGCGCGATCTGGCGCGCACTCTCGAAGACTTCCCCGACTACGCGCCGGGCGAGCCCTCCACGAGCGGCGCACGCGAGCCGTCGCCGTTCCGCGACCAGTCCATCATGTCGGCGCTCAGCTCCTCCTCCACGGCGGTCAACTCTGACCACGACGACGACGACGACGCCGACGGCGCGAATCGCAAGCGTTTCCGGCCGATGTGGACCGGCGAGGAGGACATGTTCATCGTGCGCTACGTCGAGCAGCACGGACGGCTCTGGTCAAAGATCGCGGAGCTGATGGAGGGCCGATCGCACCGCGCCGTCCGCAACCGCTGGCTACGCATGCAGAAGGGCCAGGCCACGCGCGAGAAACGCGGCCCCGACAACGGCTACCGCTGCCGCCGCTGTGGCGAGCTCAAGCTGGGCCACATCTGCTCTGCGGGCATGGCGACGCCGCCCAACCCGCCCTCGTTCAACCTGTGACTTGAGCACACCCTGCAACTATTGTCCGAGGCCGACGCCGCGCGGTCCCGGACTCTGATCTCGGCCGCCCGATCTATGCGACCCAACCTCGAGCGACATCGTCAACATCCATGGTAGATCGACCTCCGCCGAGACCTTTCTACGTCCGCGGCTCTCTCTCCCTCTGTCAATACTCTCTGTCAGAACCCCTTCGCCCATCGAGGCGGCCATCGCGACCCGGACCCTCAACCCGGCGAGCTCAAGCTGGACCCTCAGCCCGGCTCGCGATGGTCGCTTCCGAGCTCTAGCAGTGCCCTCTGTCTGGTTAACCGTTCGTGTGCGCCTGCATGCGCACACGGAGCGAGTAGTGGGCTACTCGAAGCGCTCCCCTCTGGTCGTGCATGCGTTTTGTAACTATTTTTGAATCGAGCAGGATTCAATTAATCCGCTCTCCCCCCCTCCCCCCCCTGGGCCTGGCGGCCGAGCGCGGGCGGGTGAGTTCTTTAGTTCTTTTGGTTTTGCGCGTCGAGCCTGTCTCTGCTGCGTGAGAGAGTTTTCTCTGTTAATCTCTTTTGCGCACGACACTCGGCTCCCATGGTGTACCTGTGCTAGTGCCAGTGCGCGCCAGTCCCGTGCCCAATGTCGTACGCGGAGTTTTGTAAAATTCTTTTGCTCTAAAATTCTTCCTTGCGCCGGCCCGGGCGGCCCCTGCCCCCGCCATCTGCGTGCTGAGAGCTGCCCTGACGATGCCGTCGCTGGTGGGCTGCGCACGGCCCCTCGGCGCACTGCTCGGTGGCGCACGACGGCTGTCATCGAGCCAGCCTCAGCCGCCATTGGAGACGGCGAAGAAGCGGCTGGCTCCAAAGCCACCCGAAGATGGGTAGATCGGGCGGTGTCGTCCCCCCTCTCCCATCATCACCTGGATTTGTTGAAGCCACGTGGTTCATCTGATTAATTGTCCAATTTCCTCCATCTGATTAATTCCAATTTCCAGATGGTGCTTTTTCAGATGTGGTAATTCCAATTGATAATATTGATGAACAAATATTGCTCGGCCGTCCATGCGATGCAGTCCGTCTCGATCTGGAGGAGACGGGTCAACCCCGTGAGGATGTCCCACTTATTGAATTTGCCGAGGCGAGAGTACTCGTCCGAATTCCGGCGTTTTTCATATTTCTCACCCTATTACAATATTAGCACTCCGTACTCGCATAGTAGTGTGGGTAAGGAGTTGCGAATGCGCCCTCGTAAGGCTTGGTGACAGGTGAGTGGTTGGTTGGGGTGGCCTCAGGCATCCCCAAGGGAGCCTCTGCGGTGCCACATAAGCAGCTAAGTGATTGTCGAGACTTGAAACGATATTCGTTGGAACAATCGCAAACAAGACAGACGGTACTACTATGGTCACCAGTAAACCATAATTCGAACTTTGAGATCATTTCTCTTGTGAACAGCGCCTTCGCCCTCTCCTGGGACCCAGCGCTCCTGACTTCTGACTGTCGTTGCTGTCTCTCCCCTCTCCGACTGTCTGTGAACAGAGACGCGGATGGATCAGATCAGAACGACCCGAGGAGCGCCAGGACATCGACAGCGAGTGTGAGCTACCACTTTCTTCCCGCTACGCTCGTGTTATTGGAGATGTTCAAGGCAGTTTATCGGGCCGACGATCGGCAGCGAGGAGAGTCTCCTCGGCGAGATATCCCTCGCCTCGCTGCTCATCGTGGGCATTCGTTCAAGATGCTGATCGACCGCGCGACGGCGACGGCGGCTGCGGCTGCCGCTGCCGCTGCTTCTGCCGCTGCTTCTGCCGCTGCTGCTGCCTCTGCTGCGGCTGCTGCCAAAGCTGCAGCTGCGGCCGCACCACCCGGCGAGGCCATCCTCGCGCGCACGGACGCTACAGGCGCGGGCGGCGCGGGGGTGGAGGGTGCGTATGAGGCGGACATGATGGAGGCGCTCGCCGCGTGCGGCGATTGAGCGCCTCCCTCTCTCTCCGGCTGTGCGCCTGACCGGTGCGGCCTCCGAGTCGCCGTCTAGCGCGCGCGAGAGAGAGAGAAGCGCGCGCGAGAGAGAGAGGTTTTGCTCTTCCCTGGGACCCCGTTGCGTGACTGTCTCTGTGCGATTTCGGGCCCGGGGTTGTGCGTTTAGGATTCCTATGTGAACAGCGCCTGGCCCGCGAAATCTGAAAGACAAGATGAATGGCTTGTAAATGCTGTCTCTCCCTTCTCCACTGTCTGTGAACAGCGCCGCTTCTGCAAAATCCGGCAGCAGAGACCGTCTTCCCTGTATGCCGCCGTCCGCGCCCTCTCCGCCGCTGTCCCCGCCGCCCTCCACTCCGCCCTCCACGCCGCCACCGTCCTCGCCCTCTCCGCCGCTGTCCCCGCCGCTGTCCCCGCCGCTGTCCCCGCCGCCCTCCACGCCGCCCTCCACGCCGCCCTCCACGCCGCCCCCATCCGCGCCCGCTCCGCCGCTGTCCCCGCCGCTGTTACCATCTCCGCCAGCCTCGAGCGCTCAGTCACCGCCGTCGCTCACTCTCACCGGTGTCCTCTACTTCGGCGGGAACGAGGGAAAGTCGATCGAGCTCTTTGCGAGTGCGGCAATCCCGGACCTGTCCGCCTACAGCCTCGGCGTTGCGAGTAACGGCCGCGCTGATGAAATCGACTATACCCTCCCGGCCGAGAGCGCTGCGGCAGGGCAACACATTTGGGTCGCCCGCGGCACG